GTTCTCCAGATTTCTTGGCACAACTTGTTGAGCACATCCAGGGCAGAAATATGTCAATTGGTACACCATCTGTTCCTGGAGCTTAATTTTTTGCCATTTCCTTCAAAGCAGCCTGAACTTCTTTCATCACCATAGACTCTTGCTCATATGTTGTTTCATGAAATTCTTCTGTATCTGCCAATTACTTTCGATACAGTGACTCAGTACATTCTTTCCATATTCTTTTAATACTTCCTGGATCATTTAATATTCTGCCTAAAGCATCTTTAATTATAGCAACTCGAGGTTTGAATTTGTTCTTCAGTTCCTTGAGCTTGAGAAATGCTGAGTGAGTTCGGCCCTTTTGATTTTCTGACTCCAACTCCTTGCACATTTCTTTGTAATATATTACTCTGTCATTCCGTGCTGCCTTTTGAAATCTTCTATTCAACTCTTTTGTATCTTAAATTCTTCCCTGTGCTTTGGCTTCTCTGCACTCCAGTGCAATTTTCAGAGTCTCTTCTGACATCCATTTTGGTCTTTTCTTCCTCTTCTGTTTTTGCAATGGCCTTTTGCACTCTTCCTGGATGATACCCTTGATATCCTCTCACAACTCGTCTGGTCTTCACTCATTAGTGTTTAAGGCCTCAAACCTGTTCCTGAGATGGTTCTGAAATTCAGGTGGGATAGACTCAAAGTCATATGGCTCTTTATAGTGTTGTGGAATTTTTTTGTTTGTTTAGCTTTGGTACCTATAAGCCAAGAAAGCAACTAAAACCCTTACAGTTTTAACCCTTACTATTGCTTTTAGGGAGCCTGGTAGCCTAGTCCATAGAGAGTTACACCACTAACCCAAAAACCACTCCAGTGGTTCGAATCTACCAGTCACTTGAGTGAGGGAAGTGAAAGTAATGGTGCAATCTTCTCACATAATTTATAACCTTGGAAAACCTGCAGAAGGTTCAGACTTGACATCTGCAGAGAGAGAGAGAGACTGTTCCTTCTAAAGTATCCACAGAGACTAATTTCTGCTTTGAATAATTAATCATGTACATTCTACTTGGAATAGCCAACCATACACATTTGCTGAATACTTTAATAAAAGAGGACTGAAATCAGTGTTTGAGTTTCTCTTGGCTAGCTTCTATTTAAATTTTTCTTACACTATCTCCTGCATTTGAGGGTACAGACGTGGAAGATAAGCATAAGTATTAACAGACTCCCAAGAAAATTCTCCACCATTTATTGTACTTTTGTCAAGATTTACCAGAGCCAAAAGGACTTGTTTCCCAATGTGATATACTTGTTTTTCTGTGAGGTCATAGAGAAGGCCATCCATGGTCATCACATCCTAAAAAGACATAGAAGAAAGCATGATGCCAAAACCACATTAACAGAATCTTTTTAAAAGTAAATCAAATAATATTTCACGGATTTCTTGTTTTTCTTTTTTTTTATTATTAAATTTTATTAGTTTTAATGAACATTTACAGGGATTTTGGGTTCTCATTCCTTCATTACTGCACCATTCTCTCTACCCTCCTCCCCAGTTTGTTCTTCTTCCCCACCATCTGAATGTCTGTTTTAATTGTCCAATTGCCACAGTGCTT